TCTTCAACCTTCGAAGTAATTATCATATTCTCATTATATGTATATGTAATTTCCTCAATTTCACTTGTCGATACTTCGACCCATACGTCTAAAAATTGGCCAAATTCTTCCAAAGAGGTCTCGTCATCATAGTTTTTATTCAAGGCAAGATCATCATATTCCGCAGATTTATCAGATTCTGCAAATTTATCAGGTTCTGCAGGTTCTACAAATTCATCAAGTTCTGGAACCTTATCGTTATTACTTGATTCTTCATTTAGTTGAATATTTGGTTGATTATTTATTATTTCATTTTCATCTTCAAAATCGGGTGAAAATATCTCAACAGGGTTTGATTTACGTGAATGCTCCCATGTAATAGAAGCTTTTAATTTGCTTATATCAAGAGCCTTTTGCGACTAAATAAAAATTTATTTAATATTAAATATGAAATTTATATAAAACCAAAAAATAAAATAAAAAATTATAATAAGTCGATTTCTTCGATTGTTTTGGAAAAAGCTCATACAACTCCAAAGGCGCTCAACAGCAGCAGGTTAATACAAATCCAGTATAATCGACATGCAACTAATCCTAATTCATTCGTTGAAGGTGCAGCAAACTCCCAATATCGTACTATATCATTAAATTGTTTGCAAGTCTCATCATCAAACGGGTAAACTTTTTTAGAAAAATTATAAAATTCATCCAAAATGCAATTAGGATTTTCTCCGAACCAAGCTTTGTAGTAATACTTCAAAAGTAATCCTAATTTCGAATAATTAATTACTGATATGTTATTAAAGTAAGTTAATCGATACTTAGGATGTAATAAACATGCTAAAATAAAAAGCGGTTGCTCCTAATTATTCTACCTTTTTCTAATCTAGCCAATATCTTCTCAGAAAGTTGTATGTTAATATGATTATTCCAAAATTGAACTAAATATGCGAGACTATGTATAACTTGTATTAGTCTTGCATTATCACATTGTAAGACATTTAATATCTTATAATAAGGATATAGAATTTCTGCAATTATTACTAAATTAGACCAAAATAAATCTGATTTGATAATTTTAAAAATGTCAGGATGAATTGACCAGATTTTCGCCGATTTTGGGAATAGGGTGGTTGAAAATTTATCACGAGAACCTAATATAAAAATATATTAAAGTTCAAATTAATATATTCTTAAAGTAAAATTTTATAGCTGTTATCATTATTTCTGGGACACACGATGAAAAATTAACCGAATGATTATTCTGCCAATTTGATAAATTATCGATTTCGGTCTAAAACTTGGTATGTATGAAGGTTATAATTGATTAGTAAATTAAATTCACGTGAAATTACAAGGTTTCAAACGATCTGTATTTTCACGTCCTAACTAAAGTTCCATTTCAAATTGTAAGATTGTTTGTATTATTCAGGTGATTTTCTTACAAGTGGCAGAAGTCTTTCAATGCATCCATATCTTTGAAGTTGGTTGAAAACTCGACTTATTGAAGATCTGCTAACACAGCAGTTGTTTGAATATGCTTATAAAGTATAATACTTAACTAGAGTTATATCGATATTGGCTATCTGGTCATATCGATTAATAATTATCACTGCTGTACTATAAATAGAGGTTATTTAAAAGCTTTACAAATCGATTAGCATCTATGTATATATATATGTACCTGGCTTTAGGCCATCTTTATAAATAATAAACATTACATTGATCATACCAAAATCTCATTCGGTTAATTTTTCACAATTTCAAAAATTTTAATTCGGCCAGGTTATAAATAGAGCTTGAAGTCAATTTAATATACCTCTAATGCTTTCTTGGTTCTCAAAAGACTAGTTACAAGCTGATAGTAACTATTCCATCTGGTTTCACTCAGAACTACTATGCTATAATACTTTTTGTAGATTATTTTTTGTTGATCACATAATTGTCCTATAAAATATTTATTATTTGCATTCTTAAAATATATTGCTATCTGAATTGCTTGATTTATTGTATTTTTTAAATCTGTCGATTCCTTAAAAACTTCACCTATACAAAGATTTAATTGATGCGCATAACAGGGGATGAATACAATATCTCTGTGATTAAGCCTTAATCTTTGCCTAATAAATATAACAATATATATGGTATAATTAAATTCGAGACTAATGTAAATTAACAAAAAAAAAATTTACCTAGCCGCAGCATATGGCCCTGCACTATCTGTAACAATTGCATTGATCTTTATATTTAAGTTTTTTAATTCATCAATCATTCCTCTTGTTTTTTCCATTACATTAATATAACTTTCCCTCTCTACACTAACATCTACCGCCTTCCAGGTATAGGGCTTCCCTTCAGAAGTTACTATCGTTACACCCATTAATTGTTCATTATTAACGTTCGTCCACCTGTCAAATGTTAAAGTAGTACTAATTTTATCTTCACGAAGAGCTTCATACATTCCATTATTATATATAGAAACAGCTGTATCTAAAATTGGTCCACTAAGGGTTCGACGGTCTAGAAGATTTATAAGAGAATTCAAGAAATCAAACAGTTTATGTGCCTCTGGCTTGTTTATCCAATTAAAAGCCCAACCGCAAGATATTGTTAATCTTAACAAAAGATTCTTAAATTTTTTATAATCTTGCTGCGATAATGGTCTAACAGAATAGTTGTCAAGTGGGCCAAAAGAAGATGATCGTACAATAACCTTTCGGTTAAATGATTGTGATGAATTAGACGTAGTATTATGTGGTGAACCTAATAAAGTTAAATATATTAATGTATCATTTCATATAGCTTAAAATAGACTTTTTTTTATTCTTATTTGGTTGCTTAATTTGTTCATTATTAGATAAATCAAAAACTTTTTTTCTTTCCTCGGGTGTTGTTTGTTGTATAAAATGTACACATTTTTTAAGATGTGTAACTATCTTATCCGTTTTATTTGGAAAAAATTTTTGCTTCCTCTCATTCTCACCCAATATATTAATATACGCCTTATAATAAACTTTATGATTACTTTTATTAATTTTTTCCTTGGTTTTAATGATATATTGTTCTAACAAATCAGGTATTGGCGACATTATATAACCAAATACAAGCTTAATAGGGTATAATATGACTTCGGAACGTTTATAGTATTGGTTTAATGATTAACGAATATTTAATGAAAAAAAGTTAAATAAATTTTTGGGTTATTTATTAGAAAATTTCAAACTTCTTGAGAAAGGTAAACCTTATGAAAAAACAGACGTAAACTTCAGCTTTGTATCATATGCTATTACATGCGTTATCGGCCCATTCATTAATCAGGTTTTATGTCTATTATCAGTTCATTCTCGACTCTATTCATTAATCAAGTTCTTGTACTTTCAGCTCATCCGACTTTGTTCATTAGGCAGGTTTTATGCATTATCTCAATACTGTATATGTACAGTATATACTAGTACTAACGCTAAATATTTATTTAATAAAATTAGTGCCAAGAAACAATTATTTATTTTTGGCATTATGCCAGAGTCCTCAGATTCTTGTAGCATCTAAATAGCGCTATTTTGTAGTAAAATAGCTAGCAACAAAACATGATTTTTACCTTTGTTCTTGAACTAATTTACATAAATGAATAATTATATGCATATTTTAAATAATGACTAGAGAACTCATTGAAATGATAGATAAAGAACTTGCAGAAGAAAAATTTATACTTAATAAATACAGTATATAATAAGCTATATATTTTGCTAAATTCACTTTGCTATCAATGTCCTGAGTCCCTGCATTATGCACATTAATCAGGTTTTATGGCTCCAGATTCTTTAGTAATACAGATGCTTTATTTGGTTTTGAAAAAAGTGAATGGGGCCTATGTGTTATCATTTGACTCTATTCATCAAGGTTCGTGTATTATCAACTTATTTGATTTTGTTCATTAAGCAGGTTTTATATATTATCTCAATACATATATACTTTTTTTGATTATCATCATAGGGACTTTTGATAAAATCGTGTAAACTACTTAAGTATCGTTATTGCGCTCAAAGACTTTCCTTTCCTGAGAAATTCCCATGATTTTTGAACCAAGTAGAATATACACCTTATTAACCACATATGAGTGGAAACTAACTTCAGAATTCTTTAGAAATTATTATATATACCCTCATCCTGATCTGAAGCTACTAACATTCTGATTTTCTAACACACATATTAATCATAAAGTTAACAAAAGTAGATAGAATAAGGAAGGTCCAGGTTAACTCAAAACATAGAAGTGAATGAATGCTTAATGGTATCTCAGTATGCTGATAATAGAATCGTCATAAGTCTTTAAGAACAGAATTTCAAGATCTTATCTGCTAAAATTACTTTTAACACCCTATATGAAATTTAGAGTACAGGATATATCATGTGTATTTCATAATATATAGTAAAATTTTGCAAGACAAAGATACTAATAAAAGAACTAGTCTTATATCTTTATTTAGGATTATCTAAAAGGATTATAGAATAATCCAGATAGTGTCTATAAAGTTATTTCATATGCTGCTACAGAAACAAAAGGTACTAACGCTAGAGATGCTAACTGAAACCTTTTGATGGCAAGCTATTTGATGATAAACTGCAGTAAAGATTTGCACTGGATGGTGGCCTGAATTGGTTCTTGGAATTTCAAATTTCTAAATTGAATTGGTGAAGAAACATATGAATTCTGATCCACAAAATGGCCTACTGCTGTTGATATTGATACTTGTTGAAAACTTATAGATTGGAATAAATTTGATTACAACGCAGATGAGGTTAAAAAAATTCTTAGATGCAAATAAATAGCCAATATCACAATATTATCAAGTAATATCATTGATTCTTTGAAGCTTCTGGTAAGTACTATATTTCATCTTCTAGCTAATCCTATCCACATAATTTCTTTTATGTACTTATGTTTACTACATACATATTTATTTAATTTAGGCGATCAAGTATTTATCTACTATGTTTAATCTTTAATATTAAAGGTAATATATAAAGGTTTCAATTTATTATGAGTACGGTGCAGGAAATTTAAAAACCTCAATCTCAATTTTAAGATGATGATGTATAAACTAGTAGCTCATTGCTGCATTGAGAATAAATTTTTTAAATTATCAATCTCAATAGAATGATGGGCATAGAAACAATATGCCAAGAATAATATATACTTAATAGAAGCTGTTTTATGCATACAGCTGAAACTTAAAATAAGCTGCTACTGAACTTAGTTTATCTTCAATATGCTGGTCATTTTTTGTTCTATATGAAGTGATTGAGGTTTTTAGATTTCCTGCACCATACAAGAAAAGTTTATGTTACATGGATAGCAGGGAATAAATCAATATACTCTCGTAGTTAGATATAAGCGAAAATTACTGGAAAAAGTATAACTGATGTATCAGCCAGGTAAGAAACTGATATGCTAGTTATACTTTCCCAGTAATTTCGCTTAGGTGCTATAAGTGATGTAGTATGTTATATGTCAAAAAAATTTCTCTAACCAATCAACTTTTGAGATCAACAGAAATCAAAATGTTATAGGCACAAAAGTGTATTATCCACGAGTACGAATTGTAGAAGGTTAAGGCAAAAAAAATTTAAAAAGTAGAGACTTCGTTTTAATATATATTATTATGGTAATTTGGTAATCCACAAAGTAATTCAGAAGTTATGTGAAGTATGTTTAAACATTCAAGCTTAGCCTACATATACAATAGGTTAATAAACTTGGCAATTTAAGCTAGCTTTTATTTGTGAAATCATATTCTTCGTGATTACAATTAATAAAACAACTTGATCATAACATAGGATAGTAATATGAAATTATGACTTATAGGACTATAAGAAGAGTTAATACAAAGTAGTGATACTTTTTAATTATAAAATCAGTTTGATGCTAGAGCAGAGAAGATTGCTTCTGTTCATTTTTATTATATAGCATTTTAGAAATAGTTTAAATCTCATTTCTTGGTTTATTTTATTTATTTTGATTTATAGTGTGTACTGTATTTACATTGGAATTTATTAATAAAATTTGAGTTGTTGAAATTTCATCTGTAGAATATATAGTTTTAGATTGAAAGTTATCGATATTTCGTGATAAAGACTTTGCTAAATATAATTATTTTTATTTCATTAGCTTTCTCAGATTATTTTATTCAATGATTTATAGTGTGATGAATTTGTTATCGGGTTTATAGATTTTGGGTTTAGCTTAATGGGATTCTATATTATCAGGCTGGTTTCTGGTCAGTATATGATATGGCAATTATATGGAATTTATGCATACGGCATTTATACTACTTAAAACAATTATATGGCATGCAGCACTTCTACTTATATGGCAAATGTGCTGTATCGCCATAATATTTTTGCCAGGGTAGTTACCCCAAAATTTTAAATGTCTGCATCATTAGTATTATATTGTATTTTAATAATTTTTTAAAGTGTATAGCGATAGATCTACATTTACCAATCTACATATTAATTTGACTGGTCAGTAATAATAAATGATTGACCAGTCAAATATTTGTATATTAGGTAAACAATGTTCGCCAGACGTCTGGTGTCCGCTATAAACCTGCGGACAATATCTGATAACAATTTACATTTTTGGACATGTTGCGGATACGGACATTGGACAATGTCTATAAATGTCCATGTCCAAATAATATGCGCGGATAGTGTCCGTGTATAACACTGCAGCAAGGGTCAAAAGTTACAATTGGGTCATCAAAAAATAGTTGAAAGCAAACAGTATACTATATGAGCCTACAGAGTGGCTTGATGCAAGATTAAAAGAAGAAGTACAGTGAAATCAGATTAGCGATTACAGACATGCTATTACAACGAATACTATTTCTATTTCTGGGCAAGATTTGTTTCTCAAATTAGTAAAAGTTATTAACGAGTATCTCACTGAACCTATTGCCAATGCAATTAAAATAGAAATGACACAATGCTTATTTATTAGTGCAAACAAGACCAAATCTAGCATTAAAGAATTACATAATGAACAGATAATAATACACAATGTTAAAATAGAATTCAAGTTAACTAATAGTATACTCTATATTACAAAGGAAAGTACTCAACTGACATCTGACGGATTTATCGAAGACAAAAATGATGCATACTTTATCACACTCCAGGCAATCATTGACGAAGTAGGGCAGAATGAAGTGTTGGAAGTATGGAAAGTTACAGACATGCAGAATGAAAAAAGATATCACATACATTTTGTTATTATTGTCAATGCAGTATCCTTCCTCTGCTCTTGCCTAATATCTATCTCAAAAAGAATCATATGTCGCCACTATTTTCGTGTGATGATGCACTCAAAAATCGCAGCATTTCACATTAGTATGATATCTCAAAAATGATACAAAGACCATCACCAAGATGCGTCAATTCTGGAAAAAGAAAGTACTATAATTAGTTATGAAATAGTCATTTTTAATAACAAAAAAATTTTACCAAGACAAAAACCTGCCATGGTTCTATTAACTGTCCTAACGGTTAAAAAATCTATTTGTAAAAAAAATTTGTATAGCCATATGTAGGGACTAGCAAGAGAGGCTATATTACTTGCAGTTGAACAAAATGATAATGGAATTGTTGCCTATCTTCAAGCCTACATCAACCAAAAATGTAATAAAAATCATAAAAGGTCTGCCAATAATGAGGTATCTGATAATTCTATAGAAATTCAAATGAATGAAACTAGTGATCAATCAGAAGAATCTGAAGCTGAACAAGATCAACATATGAATGAGACAAACTTTAATAATATAAAGAATCTGAACAAAGTTATTACTAAAGGACAACCACCCAAGCGAAGGTATATCAGCAGTGTTGAAAAAGTACAAGGCCACTAGGGCAGATCTAAGAGTAGAAGATCTTATAAATGTTGCATTTGCAATAGAGTAGGTCACAATGTGGCTTTTTACAAGAATAAAAGCAATAATGACAGTACAGAAAGAGGTAGAAAAGATGTAAATTAGAGCGACAGTATATTATCTTGTAATTCGATCTCTTTAGGTTCTAAATAATATGTATA